GATCCGTCGCTGTAGTCGATGGACTTCCATATATCGGGATCATCGTTCCAGCCATCCTCCTTGGCGATGTCCTCCCACCTGAGGGGCGGCTCAGCATCTTCATCTGGTTCCCGTAGAACCTCTAGGTCGATCAATCGTGTTTTCTGTGTCGGTCGATCGGCAAGCTCGAGAAGAAAGTGCAAAATATCTGGTGTCCATTTGGTGCGGTGTTCCTCCAGCGCATTTTTGCTTTCTCTAAACGCATCGGCCAAGCCTTCACGATGGTGGACCCGGAATCGCTCCTCGAGCCCTACAAGCTGGTTTTCGACATCGAATTGGTTGGTTCGCAGGAAATTGTTGTACCTCAATGTGCGCAGCGATGATTCGCGCAAGAGATTGAACTTCTGCCGGCCGATCTGCTTGCCACGGTGTTAGCAGTGGACGGGCCGAGCTGCATTGCATTGCGTACAGCTTCAAGATGGGATGAACAGTCTCACACCTTGTCGGGCGTCGATGTGATGACCTCGACAAGCTCGTCCGTCAGAGCGGTGAGCTTTGCGAGAAAGGCCATGATCTGACTCCGTAGATAGACCGTCGACGGGTGTCGTCGGGGCTCAAATCATGGGAGCGCAAAGAAGCGCAAGCATGAATACAATTTGCTGGTGCAACCGGGGGACGCGTTCAGTGTTGCGTTGCTCGATGCAGGACGCGCCGACAGACGACACTGCAGTTCCACGCCCGGAAGGAGGGGGGCGGGGGTGTTGGGCCTCCTTATCGATGCAGTTACAGGGATTGGATAACAAAAGCCCCCGCCATAGGCCTCATGCTGGACGCTAATTGACAAATTTCATGGGGTGACATCAGCCTCAACCAGCCAGCGACCGGGACAATTGCTGCAGCGCCCCTTTTCGAAATTTACGCGTAAGAAATCTGGCCTAGCCAACACCGATCAACATTTCTCCCTTTAACTCCAACGACGACCCTCAAAACGACGGCACGAGCCGCGACCGAGAATTTCCCACCAAAACGGACGACACGACTCGGCTCTTCCACTAGCCCTCGACAATCGCGCAAACCTTCTGCTGACGACGGTCCACCGACCAAGAGACGCGGCAGACATAGCCTCAAACCCTCTGTCCACGAGTTCGATTGCGACTCTGCATTCCACATTACGCCCAACATGGCGGTCGCGCGGCCAGTTCGAGCTCTGGCTCTAGCCGCCGTGATGCTCTGGTGCTTCTTCCTTTATCAGATCTTTGGTCCCGAGAGGCCGATAACGAAGCCTGTGCGCTACGATAACGGGCGAGACCCCAACCTAGATCGTGAGCTGCCTATGCTGCCCTTGGTTGCTCATTGGCGGCGCTAACCATTGTGACATCAAACAGCTACCGGCGAACCCTCGGGTGTACTGACGTACGCCTCCGACAAGTATGCTCCAGGCATTGCGGACTCTGCGCGCATCAACGCCACCCTGTTGGCGTTGGTCAGGAACGAGGAGCTGGACCAGATGATCGGGTCCATGGTGGACCTCGAGAGGACCTGGAACCACAAGTTCAACTACCCCTGGACCTTCTTCAACGAGGTTCCCTTCACGGATGAGTTCAAGAGGAGGACTCAGGCGGCCACTAAGGCCGAATGCAGATACGGTATGCTATTGCTGTTCGCCATGGTTCAATGCTCGTTCTAACCGGCATTTCGCAGAGCTCATTCCCAAGGAACACTGGGAGATGCCGTCATGGATCAACAAGGATCTCTACGAGGAGTCTGTCAAGATCCTCAAGGAGAACGACATTCAATACGCCGACAAGGTCTCGTACCACTCCATGTGCCGCTGGAACAGTGGCATGTTCTACAGACATCCCGCTCTGCAGCACACCAAGTACTATTGGCGTGTTGAGCCCAAGGTTCACTTCTTCTGCGACGTTGACTACGACGTCTTCCGTTACATGCAAGATAACAACAAGACCTATGGTTTCACCATCAACTTGTACGACGCCCCCAAGTCCATCCCGACGTTGTGGCCCGAGACCGTCAAGTTCCTCGCGCAACACCCCGAGTACATCCACGACAATAACGCTATGGCGTGGCTTACCGACAAGGCTGGTCGTCCCGAAAACAACATCGACGCTAACGGCTACTCAACCTGCCACTTCTGGAGTAACTTTGAGATTGCAGACATCGACTTTTGGCGCAGCCAGGCTTACGAGGATTATTTCAACCACCTGGACCGTGCCGGAGGTTTCTTCTACGAGCGATGGGGAGATGCTCCTGTGCACAGTATTGCCCTGGGTCTCTTCGAGGACAAGTCCAAGATCCACTGGTAAGTGACGCAATGGCATGTATGCGAGCGACCACAACTGACCCGCAACAGGTTCCGCGACATTGGGTACCAGCACATTCCCTTCTTCAACTGCCCCAACTCTCCCAAGTGCAAGGGCTGCGTCACCGGGCGATTCACCGACGGCGAGGCTTGGCTGCACAAGGACGACTGCCGTCCGAACTGGTTCAAGTACGTCGGCATGGACTAATTGGCCCTCGCATGGGCATGCTTCCTGTTCTGTACTTTTTTGGTTGGCAACAATTGGGGATTTGCTAGGGAGCATCTGGGTACTGACGGTGTTGGGCGTCTGCGGAACATCCATACGTGTGTAGAGTACCACGGGGTCAATGACGGACATGACCTTGCATGATTTTGAGACATTTTGCTAGAAATTGGGGCTTCTAAATGAAAAGCCCTGTACAAAGAGCATCTCATTTCCATGATCTATAACTTTATAATGAGCCAAAAACAGTCGCGACGCCAGACGTGCCGCCGACACAGAACTGGTCTCCCCATCCGTCATCTCGCCAGGCCATGCAACTAATGATATTGCTCCTCTCCTTCTCCTTTCCGTCCTTCCCAAGCACTTTCTTCTTGGGTTCATAGCCTTCGGGCCATGGAACCTTGACTGTCGCGACAAGCTTGCCGGTCAACAAATCCCAGGCCCAAATTTTGCCCTCCCCGTTCAATCCTGACGGTCCAGTACCGGCAGTCAATTCGTCTCCAGCAATCACATACTTCTCCTTCCCTCCGAGGATGCTCTGCACACGCAGCTCTTCGTTCTTCCATCCAGCATCCTCGTAAGTCTTCAAGCAGCTACCGCTGTCCCGATCCATCAGCCGGATCTTGCTATCGAGCGAGCCCACCAGCATCGCCTTGCCATCGCGCGTGAGCCTCAAACTCGTGACACTCGCCCCCATAGTATCAGTAATGCACTTCCCCATCCTCACGTCGTAGGTCCTAACCCGCCCGTCAACGCTGCCCGCAACAATCTCTGCGTCTCTGACAACAAGCGCCGTGACGGAATCCTTGGCCTCGTCCATCACCTGCACCGGCTTCGCAGAGTTGGATTTGCAGTCCCAGACCCGCACGCTGGTGTCGAAGCCCGCTGAGATGACAAGCGAGTCCCCGTCCCCGCCGAACGCGACGCAGTTGATGCGCGAGGAGTGGCCGTGGACGTTGCCGCCGAAGCGGCGGAGGGTCGTGGCGGATGCGACGTCCCACAGGAAGACGGCGCGGTCGCCGCCGCAGGACGCGAAGCGCTCGTTGTCCGCCGCAACGGCTAGGTCAAGTACTTCGTAGCCATGTGAGGCGTAGCTCTGGATGATGCGGCCCTCGGGCACGCGAGGAGTGGTTCTAGTGGTGAGGTTGGAGGTGTAGCGGGGGTTGGCGTCCTGGGTTGCTGGGTTGTACAGGCGGATGGTGCGGTCTGCGGAACCGGTGAGGATGTAGGTACCGGGAGACGAAGAGTACGTAACAGCATGGACGGGGCCTTGGTTTCGGGAGTCAGTAACTTGGCGACTTGAAAGATATGAGTGCGAAGGTATTCGCATCTCAAAGTCGTGTCCCGGGTTCGCGACTCACCATTCGAGCCCAGCAAGTGGGCGACAGGTCTGTCAGGAAATGACATCTTTAGCGGTCGGCAATACGCCCATTACGAGGGGGAAATAACTCCTGGCCAGCGATCTTTCATGACTCGAAGAAATGAGAGTCTTTTCGCAGTTCTTTTCTTACGCGCGCCCTTTCATGTAAGTTGTAAGTGGTCATGCTTGTTTGGAGAGGTTGATGAAGTGACCCTCCGGATCCTCGCTTTAGTGCATAAATGCACACGGTGGGATTGACTCCGTGAGACTCTACATCACCCCCACCAAAGTCAAGGCGAGAATTCAATGAACATGAGATGTAAATGAGTGACGTGAGAGATGGAAATACAAGCGTCTGATATCTGTCAAATTTCGTGCAAGAGGAAGCCTGGGTGGGCGAAAAATTTGGCGGGGGCATTGCGCAAGCTCTATAACACAAATTTGTACCCGGTTCTTTAACGATGGCCGGTTGGCCCAATGGCAAGGCGTCTGACTACGATTCCATCGTGCAATCAGGAGATTCTGGGTTCGACCCCCAGGCTGGTCAAATTTTTGCTGTTTTACTTCATCTTCCTCTGTGAATAACAACTGCGTGCGTCTTGATCATTTTTTAACAACGTTTCAGTAAGAATGCCTATGTTTCTTATGCTTGAGCGACTATTTCTCCCCAAGGCGTATTGGGACCCTGATTTACTTATTATCATCGTCGATGTGTCTAACAATATCTTCGTGCCTTACTTACTTACACCTACCGTCGTTCTTGATGAAATCTAACCAAAGTCTCCGGTCCATAATGAGTCAACAGCAAATGAGGTTGCATAAACTTAGGATAATCAGCCGGCATCCTTGTCAGTGGTTCTGTTCTTACTTCCCGCAGAGGAGGAAGTGCATGATTGCCTTGCGCCGCGATGCCTCGGAGTAGATAGCGGAGGTTCTTTGACAACCTTTCCCACGATGGTCAGAATCCGCCAACTTTGACGTGGTTTCAAGATCTTGCAGTGCCTCTGCGAGTCGAGACACGGCAAGCGAGACAGCTTCTGGATTGCCTGTGTACACGAGCCTGAAGCATCCTGGTACTGGTGACATAGACATCTTCAAACAGGTCAGCGGTATTCATCTCACGCAACAGGACAACTCACTTCTCCGGGGCTAAGAAAGACACCAGCCTCATGCAGTAAGTGCCGGCAAAGCTTCATCTCTCGACTACTACGGTCGTCGCCTGCGAAATAGTCGAGCCATTTCGTCAACTTGACAAATATGAAGACCCCACTATCGGCCTCGCCGAACGGAATTCTGTACTTGTTGAGGAGTTTAGCAGTGAAGTCATACTGCTTCCCAAGCCTTTCGCGATAGACGGACAGATACCGGTCGACAGCTTCTTCATTCTGCAGAAAGTGCATGAAAAAAGCGGCTGAAAAGCTCGTCACCCACGTGAACAGCACCAACCGTCTTACAGAACGCCAGAGGAGTTCGTTACGGGTGACGAGAAATCCGAGTCTGAGCCCGCCGCAGCCAAAGTCCTTGCTCGCGCCGTACATGCAGTGGATGTTTTCAGTAAACACCCCGTTTGCGGGGTCCTCCGGGATGCTCAGCACAGATGTGAAGGGTCTAGCAACCCGGTCAGAAGAAGTGAAAGTAGACATGCCGTATATCTCGTCGGATAGCAGGTGCATCTTTCGCTGGCCGCAAAATTTGGCGATTTCGATGAGGGTGGCGCGTGGATATGTCCGTCCGCACGGGTTGCTTGGGTTGCATAAAAGGAGGGCCTTGGGAGTGACGCGGCTCTTCTGGGCAGCAGAGTATGCTTTGCCCAGAGCCTTCATAACTTTTGCAGAGTCCTTGGCCTCGAACTGGTCTTCGATGGTGTCGAGATCGACGTTGATGAGACTGACGCCTGTCCTGGCACAGACATCATGAGGAAACATCATGTAAGTCGGAGTTATGACTATTATTCCCTCCCCTGGGTTACACATGGCAAATGCCATCATGTCGATGAGTGAAGTGACGCCGTTGGTCACTATGATATCATCTGCACGTAGAGCTCGAGCCGCGTGGAAGTGACGGTTCATGAAACTACAGACGGCTTTCGAAAGGCCTGCAGATGTTAGACTTGAAGCTATTTGATGAAGTGCTTCTCACCTTTCGGCCCCATCACGTCTCCGTATTTCATAGCTAAAACCGAGTCAACTCTGTCGCGCACTCAGGCATCTCATAGCATACCTTCATTGAGACTATATGACTTTTCAAAGCTGGTCATTTCCTCCTTCAGAACATCATTCATGAGACTATTGATGGCTCCGGAGAGGTCGATAAGACCGTCAGGACATATCTCGGGGTCGTACTGCGGAAGTTTGCCCGCCTCGTTTTCGAGATCGATAAAAGCCCCGGATTCAAGATTGGCGAGCGCCCGCGTCGACGGCTTGATGGTGTGTTGCTTCGATGCCATTTTCCACGGTCTTCAACTTGTTTTCACGTACAACCGAGAAAGAGATAGAAAACTATCATCAGTAACCTAAGAAGGCAAGGTAGAGCCCCGCATCCCCCGAGTGCGATGCCGGGGCCCCGGCAGATAGTTTAGGCCTGCCTAATCGGGCAGTCCGTTGCGCAGCATCATAGAAGCAACTGCAATTACCACATTTTGGGCATACTTAAATGGTCGCAAAATATAAACTACTGATAGTGGTGTATTTAACACGCAATTGTACGAGTCACCGTCAGGATTTAGACTTATGGGAATGATCCTAGGTGACTATTGACCAGGGCATCGGGGATGCAAGAACATGGCAATGCAGGATAAACTCCAAATCAGCATATCCGCGCGCAGAAATTTAGAGAATCCCATGATGCCCATCAACACCAACTAGCAATGCCGCGCGAGCCGGTCAATGGAACTTTATCAACAACCGAAACATTCCAAAAGCCAAGACGACCCCTGAACCCTTGACCGTCCCGTCACCAGCCCACACGCGGCGAACCCTTCATGATCCAGACGGTACGTGGCGTACATACAAGGGATGTCAACCGTCCACCCGTCCTGCTATGCACAGCGGAAATCCGATTGTTTGGGTTGTGCATTCCACCGCGATAGCAGAATTTCTTCTCCCGCGTGAAGGCACCCGTGCCCAGCTGACGTGAGGATCACCAGATGCCGTCACAGGGCCCTTTCTCCCTTCAAACGCTTACCCTCCAGGAGACGCAAGGGTCGTAGGGTCCTGGGCTGATCAAGCCCTCCTGTCTCGGTGCAATTCGCTCGAGACATGCGCTATCGTGGTTCCTGATTCCATGGGGAAATGACTTCATTCAGGCTTTTTGCCCCTCGCTGTTCCTGAACTCAATCGCACCCGCCCAACCTTGCTACACACGATGTAAACTCAGAGAAGAAGGTTAATATGTACTGAAGGCGGGAACAATTGCAGCCTTTGAACATCAAAATTGCTGGGCCCCGCGAGAAACCGTGTTGAAGCCGAAAGGTCGCTGGGTCGCTCACTTACACGCACGGAAGTGTGGGGCACTGCCTGCTACGCTCCTTAGACCCCGCTTTGGCGGCAACAGTCACCAAACAACACTGGCCCAGATCGTCTAGTTGGTTAGGATGATACGTTGTGGTCTCCATCACTCAGCGATACCGTGTTGACGGCGGTTAGAATCCGCCTCTGGGCAGTATTCTTTTGCTTTTTGCTCTATTGACAATTGGAATAAGTCTGTCGGTCTTTTTTTCATTTTGCCTGCATTGCCTGCGCCCTCTTTAGTGACAGTTGATCACGAGAATGGTGACAAGACCAATCGAGCGTTTGTAAAAGCTGTATTCTTCAACGTCAACGATTTGGCATCCTCGTTCGATTCAACCTGCCGCTAAACGTCTCTCAGTGACGTCTGGGTATCATAATTCTAAATACGAACAAACACAGATCGTACGTTTCCACTTCCTTTGACTGAAATGACCTTCCCATCCACCTCCAACTCCGGCGCCTCATCCTCTTCGGGCGTCAAATCAGGCCAATCTCTCCACAACTCACATTTTGCAAGTCTAGTGTGAGCTTTCCGCCGGACGAGCCTCACAACCCGGACAGCCTGCTCCAGATCGCCGACTTCGAACAGCAAAATCTTTGATTTCAACCATTTCGCGACATCCAATAACCTCGCGTAAAAGACATCGGCGTGGTCACAATCATCGTACACCGGCACGGCGTCCCCCGGGACGAGCGCCAGCTTGGGTTCGTACTTGCGCACCGAGTATCCCATCTGCCCCCGCCCGTACGTCCACACGCTGCTCGATATATACGGCGGATTCGAGACCAAGATGTCGCAGGGTGGAATCGTCCGCATCGCGGCGTCGTCAAAGACATCCTCCCGCCTGAACGCGATACTCTTCCGGTCTGCGGGTGGGACTAACACGCCCCTGTCTACGTTGCGCTCCAGATTCTCCCTGGAGAGGTTGACAGCGACCTCCGAGACATCAATACCAATTACGTTCACCGTTCCCTCTGCTTTCGAGAGGGCATCATACAGCCCAAGAGCAATACAACCCGTCCCCGTGCAAAAGTCAACGACTCTCACATCACCGCTCTGGTTCAACAGCAACTCCCAGCCGCGGATCATCTCGCCGAGGTGCATGACATACGCCTCCGTCTCGGCGCGGGGAACGAGGACCCCCGGCCGACACCGAATGTCCAGCCTGCCAAAGGGCTGCGAGCCGAGGACATACTGCAGCGGCACCCCGCGTCCTCGTTTCGCGCACAACCTCGCCACGCGACGACGGCCGACAACTTCTTCTCTCTGCTGCTGCCGCCCATCCCCAAAAGGCACGCGGGGATTTGAAGTCTCGCGGACGTGCTCCCTGATCCACCGCAGCTCCGTGACAGCCGAGTCTATGTCGCGGCACACCGGCAGCAAGGTCCTGACGTGCGGGGATATGGCGCCCGCCTGGCGTATGAGTGAGGGCGGGAGGCGAGGCATTGGACGGCCGGCGGCGGTGATGGTGGTTTTGGTGGGCTAGACTCTGGCGTGAGTCATGTAGATCATGGTGTCACTTGTGGCTTGTACGTAGTAAGCTGACGTCGACCTTGATGAATGGGATGAAAAGTCTGTTTGCTTGGGGGAGGACGAAGTGGTGGTGGGAATATCTAGCACACAATTGTTGCTGAGGTGGGAAGCTTTTAATTTTTCCCCCGCTGGAGGAGCTGTCGCTGTCGCGGCAGCGCACGCTTCATTGGAGCTTGGGCCACCTGAGACACCACACCAACTGACTTACACGTCTGCGTCGGATGAGATGGGAGTCATTCGGCTGTCATGATACGTCCAACTCTAAAGTGATGGGTTGTTTCATGTGGCAGTCGTAGGATGAACTTACCGATGATGTGCCTCGGAGGATCTCAAGAGTTCGGACTTGGCGGCACCGTCGCGTTCTCGGCCAGACAAAGGTATCGCCGAGGGGTAGTGCGCTATTGGGCGATGAGCCCACTCACTCATTGTTATTGCGGGAGTTTGTGATGGTTGAGAACAGTAGTAGTATTGTATTCCAGCGACGAAGAAGCAAAATGGGTAATCGCAATCTAAAGGACGATGGATGGTGTACAGTGTTGTTACAAGGTCTTAGAACCTGATAGGAAAATCGATGGGACATCATCCCACCACGAACTCCGAAAAAAAAGAACAAGCAGAAAAAGCAGTCAAACACCATGAACGCAGATCCAGCAAACAAATCATACCTCCGTGACCGTGATATTCATAACGTTGTTCTTGTAGTCCTTGATGAAGCTCTCGTACCTTGGGTAGACCTTCTCGTCGTCGACCTCAAGGTGGTTTGTCTTTTGTTCGTCTTCCTCTTCCTCCTCAACCTCTTCTCCCTCACCATCTACCTGTTCCCCGGCTTCTTTGGCTTCCTCGTCTCCAGGGCCCTCATCACCGCTGTGATTCTTTTCGTCGTCGTCGGCATCTTCGTCGCCATTGCCATCAACATCCGAGTCGACCTCGTCCCAAAAGTTTCCGTCCTCGAAGTAGTAATCGGCCCAGTCACCGTAGATCTCAATCTCAGGCTTCTGCTCCTGAGCTGACTCGACTTCTCTCATTGAACTCTTTGGCCGCGGCTCCGGCAGCCAGGATTGAAATCTCGACACTGGCGCCCCCGTGTTGAGGATTGTCTCCTTGGACGACCGCCAGGAGTATTTCCGAGGCAAGGACTCCGGGCTCATTTGGTGGACAATGTGATCCGACGGCGGAGGGGTGGTCGGGTCAGACACAGACCGCAGCCGGGGATCTGTGAAAGGAGTTGCGGGACGGTCCTTCACCGGGGTCAAGAGCGGTGGAGATGACGGGCTAGAGGGGCCGGCTGAGTCGTCGTCGACCATCGTTGGAGACGACACCTCTGCAGATGAGCGGAAGGTTCCCCGTGCAGGGCAGGGCGAGTCAACGTCTCTGGAGGAGAAGAGGGACTCGCTGTCGTCGGACCATCGAGACGTTTGTGCTCGTGGAGTGTACTGACCCAGGCGAGATTGACTCCTGGAAAGGGTAGGTGGAGGAGATAGCGGTACCATGCGGACGGTCATCTTCGGCTCTGGCTCGACGTCCTCATCCTCTTCGACTTCATGTACATCGGCCTCTTCGCCATCGCTCACACTTGGCGAAGGCAAGTGTCCCGACCGCCTTGTCGCTGTTGTGGACTTCGTGGAGCTCCTCCCAACCTCAACCACTTTGGCCGGGCCAGATGAATTCGTCCTGGCAAGTCTTGCCTCCTCAAGGTGCACGCTCTCCACCCTCACACTCCGTAGACGCCTGCTCTCCTCCACTTCGTCGGGGTAAGGCCACATCTTGAGGCCATGCTTGACCCCGCCTCTCTTGTGCTCCTCCTGCCTCTGCAATGACATGAGAAACTGCATGCACTGCTCGTCATTCGGAATCGCTGTCCTGGAAACAGGCCTCTCTGGCCGGTCCGGTGTGTGGATGATCTGGAATGAGGATTCATCCATGCTGTCTTGCCTCCTAGGAGAGCGTGGTGACGTTGAGCTGTCTGGGGATTTCGGGGACTTCGGTGATTTTGGTGACTGCATGAAGCTCTTGATTTTGAGGTTTTTCAGGTACGGCGACAGCTGCGCCGTCCAGTTCGATTTTCTTCCGTGCCTTGCGTGGTCCTTCATGTTGACTGTTTGCGGTATTGTCCACGACGAGGAAGGCAGCGCCGACGGCGGGGCCGCATGTTTAAAGTCCATGGCATCAAAGGCCTTCTCGCAGGGCTGCAGGGGAAGAGAGGACCAGGAGAGTGAAAGTTCAGCTGCGTATGCACCGTCGAGGGCAACTTCTTTGTAAAGTCTGGAGAGAAAAAGCCATCATGGTTCCGTCGAGTGCTGCAGACAAAGAATGCATGGCCGAATGGCTTCTCATTTCAGCCAAAGACATCTAGGAATGTGGCGACTCCAGCAGAGTTTACCACCCCATTCCTTTGTCCGGATGATGATCCCAGGCCTAACCCGACAATCCAAAAAATAACGCCAAACTATGAGCCGGCCCCCGCGTGTAGTCTGATCTTATCGATGTTATCCCTCGCAGGATGTGAGACAATCTTCCCCACCGTCATTACTATAGCCCAACTGTAACAGTCATATTATTACTCAGGACCAGGAGGACCGGAGGGAGCTCGTGGCACAGGACCTCGACATCCGAGAGGTACTGCACGCTCGCGACCTCATCCTGGCAGGTTCCCTCGGTGGGCACGGGTAGCGTCGAGAGTAACACAGCTGTATCCCTGCTGTTCTGCCGCATAAGCTCGTTGAGGATGACATGCTGTGCTCGGGATGGCAGGTCATTGAACGAAAGCGCGATGCCTTGTGTGGAGTACGGCGAGCCGTCGCCTTCGCCTTCTAGCCTGGAGTCTAACCTGTAGCGCTCCACGAGCTCCGCCATGTTCATATGGGCGTCTCCATGCTCGGAGGATGCGGCGGAATCTTTGCGAGATCTCGGTTCCGCAAACGCAGTAGGAGGATCAAACTCTTCAGCCGTCGTCACCCTCATTTCAGGCACAGGGCGGCTGGAGAACCGGCCCGTAGAGGATTGCCTCGAAAATGCGGGCCTTTCCGCTCGCGGCGTCTCTTCTTCCGTTGTGTCCGCAAACATAATCGTTGGCCCGGACGTGCCCTCAACGTCTACTCGCGTCTCGGGCACCGGTCGGCTCGAGAATCGCACAGCGGAGGATTGCCTGGACAGTGTTGGTCTGGCCGGGGTTGCCGTACCAGAAACGCTCACCGGCGGCAATTCGGGGTACGGGTTGCCGCCTGACACCCGGAATCCACCCAGCGATCGAGCAGTCACGTTGCGATCCAAACCGGGTCGTTCAAGCGGAGTTGGAGGGGCCGACACGTTGTCACCGGCCGTGTGGCTTGGACCTGATTGACCATCGACCCGAGCTTGTGCAACCATGGTTCCATAAGTCGACTTTGGTGCGGCACTCTTGCTGGACTTGCTGTTACCTCGCCTATGTTTGGATGGAGTGGTGAGGAGGTCATCGCTCTGGCTTCGTCCACGCCCCTTGCCAAGCAGTAAGGGTCTCGTTGGCGTCTCCGTATCATCTGCCTCATCTTCACTGTACTCGCTCCCTCCACGTTCGAACTCAGAGTCAGAGTCCAAGCAAGAGGGCTGCTGTTCCTGCTCGCTGAGCTCGCCGTCCGAGTTGGAATCGTCCTCAAAGACCTCATCTCCCAGGTGAGACGTGTGAATTCCAACGCTGACGCCAAGCCGGGAAAGCTTCGCTACAGTAGGTCTTTTCGGTATTTCGCCGAAATGTACCATACTAGGCCGACGCCCACTTTCGATGTCCTCTAGTGGAACGTGCGGATTGAACACGCCAGGACGTCCTGCTGTCGACTCAATGATATTCGCGAAAGACGTGAGTTCGTCGGTCGAGTCGAAATTCGGGGCACGTCCTCGCAGCCTCTGCAAATCGTCCCACCATTCCTCATCCCTGAGGACGTCGTGAACTAAAATCTGAGACTCAAGTTCGCTGGATTGGCCATTGATGATGAGTTCGTAGGTGTTCAGCTGACCAGATGCCAGCCAGAATACCTTGACCTCAGCCTCAATTCTCAGCTTTTCCAAGAGAGCCTTGACTCGTGCTCTTTCTTCTTCCACTTCGCTCTCGTATTCGACAAATACCATGATGCGAACATCATACACTTTGCTCCAAGTAGGCACGCTGTGAAGGATGTAGCCGAGTTGGAGGATCAAGGTGTCTGCAACGTGTTAGCCTGTCTACAAGAGATGAGGGCAATTGTCGTACATGTATCAAAGTTGGTGGTCAAAACGCTTTTCCCGTCCGAAACAACCTCTGCGGACATTTGAATAGGCCAGAGATCAAGATATCTCTTCGTATTGCCCTTGTCCTTGCGCGGTGTCTCCAGCCTTTCGAAACCCTTTCCGATGGCGACATTGAGCTTATATCTCAAGGCAAGGTCTTCCAGCATTGTCATATAGCTGGTAACACTTAGCATGGACTCGGTTTTGATCACGTCCGTCGGAAGATGACCCTCTAATAGTCGCGCCGAGGTATCCCCACGTCTCCTTCGTACTGGCCTCTCTGCGGGTCGTGGTCTTGGTCGTGTATCCTCGACGGTCGAGCTTGGAGCTTTCGGCACTGCTACCGACGGACGGGAGCTTCTGAGTTCATCCATGTTGTAAAAACCCATGACTGCAATGTTAGGACGCATGCCTCCTAGCCCGGCTGACAAGATCAAGTTTCGGATGCCCCAATTGAGCGTGGGAGACATTGTCAACTGTACGAACGCCTTGATCCGCGAGAACTCCGAGATGTACTTCGTCCACGCTGCCTGCTGTAGTCTTGCTTCGTGGACACCGCTGCTGAAGTCATCTGTGACAATGACATGACCAAGGATATACAACCCCCCTTTCTTCAAAGAGTTGCAGAACTGGATGAGTCTGGTTTGGCTTCTGGGGTTGTTGATGAGCAGGATGATTTGCGGACGCCAAAATTTGATATGCTCCGGTCGTAGGCGTAGAAGATACTTCCTGACTTGGTGATAAATCAGGTTTTGCGATACGTCTCCCCATCTCTTCGGTGGACTGAGGTAGTGGATCAGCGAGAAGAGGAAAACAAGAAGACATATGGCAGTGGCAGCGTAAGTCTGGTCGATGAAGAACATGGCTGCCGCCGACATTATAGTACCAGCGAACGCTGCCTGCCAGCTGAAGAACTTGAAGGCGGGCCTGAAGTTGGGTGCTGATCCAATGCGGAGCAAGAAGCAAGCTAGATTCATGACGAGAAAGGTCATCTGCTGTGCATTAGCCATGGACCAGTGAGAAGCGGGGTGTAACACTCACCTGATAGCCCATAGAAATAAGAGTCGCAATCTGGTTGAGGTTGGCGAGCATGGAAACCTGGGCAAGACCGTACGTCAAGAGAATCGCGTAAATCGGCTCATCGGACTTCTTCGTCCCTTGGCTAAACGGTATTAAACCCGGTAACAGCTTATCCCTCGCCAAAGCCTGCATCAGCTTCGCCGCACCTACAAGTCCCATGACAGCGGAGAAGAAGGTGACGGCGCACTCTCCCGCAAGGATCAAGGGCATCGACAGGCTGGTAACAGAGATGATGTTGGTGTTGTTGAGAAACGAGTTATGCGTCGTGGTGGCAGCCATGGAAAAAACTACGACCAAATACGCAATGAACGTAGTCATCATTGCCCAAAGTGTTCCTTTGGGAATGTCTTTGCTGGGGTTTTGCAGATCTCCAGACATTGATGCTCCCGCAAAGATCCCGGAAGTCGCTGGGAACAGAATGGCAAAGAGCTCCCGAAACGTCTCGAGGCCATTATAGGAGTCGCTCTTCGTGTGAGGGGCAAAATTGTCCACCAAAGTCTCGAGGCTGAACCCAGTAAACCGGACTCCCAGATCGTCGTCTCGGAAAGGAGCCTTGAACATGGCAGATATCGGGATGCTTATGATGGCAAGAGACAGAATGACTAGAAGTGCATTGCTGGCTTTGGCAAAAATGCCACTTCCAGCCAGGCCCAACGCAGCACACAGCAGAAGTGCCAGTGTCTGGAGCAAGTATGTTGCCCAGAAACCTTGGGGGAACAAATCTCCCGCGTTCAATTTGATGCAGTCAATTAGACCAACGACATTGAGGGCGGTGTTGAAGACTTGGGCAAGATAGAACAACACGCCAATGGAACCGCCGAACTCGGGACCAAGAGACCTCGAGATCACGTAGTAGGCACCTCCACCCTTCACCTCGCCATTTGAAGCTATCGCAGAGAGGGACAGTGTTGTCAAGAAGTCCACCAGATAGGCGGTGACCAGCAATCCTACGGATGGTGTTAGTCTGCGCTAATGTAAATGAGAGCGCCCGTGCTGGTGCCGACGAACCAAGCATGCCCAAAAGCCCTACTTGGCCAAGGATCCATCCAAATCTCAGAAACATCAGGATGCTGAAAATGTTGAGACAGACGGGGATGTAGACGCCGGAAACCACGCCCAGCTTGGGGCTCTTGCTGGCCTGCTCCATGCTGGAGAGGCTCGGTCGTCTGTCACCTCCCATGGCGAAGGATACTGGTTGAAAAGGAGAGGTGAGTGCGTTTGGTCGGTGGGATACATAAACCGAAGCTGGGCTCGAAAAGGAGAACGCGAACGCCACCTCCGCACTTTCTCTTTCTCCACGCCCAAACGGAGTTGGGAAGCAAGACGTTTCGATGAATGCGAGATCGATGAAGACGGAGATTCGATCAAAAGTAGTAGCACGCGGCAGGCGGGCGGATGTAGTCTTGTTATACTTATAAGTCCCCGCCCATAAGTCACGCCAACAACATTGTGCTGCTGCCCAGTGTCCTGTCCTCGCTCAGAGCGTCCACAAAGTGCAGTGTGGTTGAACGATGGCTGGCGACGGTCTGGATATTGCGACCAGTAATAGAATTCCCTAGCAAAGACCGGCGGGCCGCACAGGCATCTAACTGGCCCGGCGCATGTCTCGCGTACTGCTTGTCGTCTCGTTTTCAGGGTTCACCGTTCTGCGTGCAAGGGATATCTGGGTCGATCCAATGCAAGCCTCTCCAATACCCCGCGTGCCGATTGGGAATTGCGATTGTGCTCCAATCCCTCCGGCCTGTCGCGCCCTGCTGTTGGAGGTCCACACACACTCCCAAGACGAATGGCATGCAGCCGGTGCAGAACACGCAGAAGATGAGCCCGAAAGTGGGAGACAAACGACGTCATCTGGCAGCGGAGTCCAGATCGGGCCGGAAAAGCATCGCTTTACGGCGGTGAGATGGTGGGGGAACAGCGTGCTTGCGGCGCTTGAGGGACGAACTGATACCAGAATCGAGATGCGAGGTGTCCGAATTCGCTGTGGCCGTCCAATATCAGGTAAAGTGCTTCAGGGTTGCGAGCTGGGTGATGGTGTGGTGAGGCGTGTTTCCGCCGGTTTGTCCGAAGATGCTGTGCCTCTTTCCGCAGCACCAGCGTTCCGTCAAATAGACCACCGCCCATGCCATGCCATGCCGTCCTGTCGTTCCCGCAACCCGCGCGTCTGTCTCCGTGCCTTATTAGTCTCCGTGGCCGTCGTTCGTGTTAGCCTCCGTCGTCCGGCATCTGGCTCGACATTCCATCTGATGCTAGCATGACCGCCAGGTTGGTGCTCCAAAATAGCAATGGCGGCCTGTCGGTTGACTCACGCGCATGACAGCGGCAAACCGAGAATTCAGTGAGATGGACCACTGTCACCACACAAAATTGGCGGCGTACATCCGTAGTGTAGTGGCTTATCTGCATGGGTAGGTAAGGTAGGGCAGCGTGTGCATGGGGTTTGACCAGCTCTCAGTGTGGCCGTGTGTGCTTCTGCGGTGGTTCCCTGACTCGATGGGGTTTCAATGTCAGAGGTGAAGGGTGCACGGGGTGCCAAAACCCCAAAGTACCGCTACATCCGCCGCACAATTGCGAAGAGCCGCCGAAGCTGGGGATGCTGGGCCGTTGTCGCGGGGCTCGACAGTCTTGTCTTCAAGGTCACGACCATCATTCAGCAGCGCCCGGTCTCAGGGCCAGGAATGAACGAACCCCCACTCTGTTCTTCTTTCTCACTGCAGCACTGGTGCGAGTGAGGCGAACTTTGGGTGGTGCTCGTGCAGCTCAGTTAATGGAGGCGGCGAGCCAATTATGGGGTCTCGCTTACTCAGTTGGACAATTACCTAAGCCAAGGCAAGATAGTCGGTTCCGATAGAGCAGATAAGGTCGCCTGGCAAAGCTGCACCTGATGTTTTTAGCAGCTGAGCAGCCCTGGTTTCCCAGTCCCGTCCTCGGCAAAGAGGTAGCTCAATGCACCTATTCGTACCTTAGGTGCCGTACCCAAGTTCGAGGACTCGAGGCATCAGAGACGCCGGTCCGCCACGAAGCTCACCTTTCCCATGAAAAGATTTCGTAAGGCTTTAACACGACCGGGGCGGAGGATGTCCGTCCGACTTCACACAAAACAAGACACATGTCCTCGACGACTACGGATACCAACCCAGTCAGCAACATGCTGAATCATGGGAGCCAAACCCGTCCGTCGCCTGAGTGATGGAGGCAGGTAAGGTATGTGTGTTGGTGCCTGGTGCTCTCTGTTGCGTTGCAGGTCCCGTCCCAGGCGACAAGATTGACGTACCGATACGATCCGGGTGCCTGCTCAGATGCGGATAGCACAGGTTCAGTGCCCTCGTCTCGGTGGGAAATACACCCCGAGAGAGACCTAGCCCCTGGCTTGCCCCCGGGTTTCGGCAAGACAACGCAGCACCTCCCACAGCACAGGGCACTTACATGGGACAGAGCCGCTGACACCACTATCAAAGGCACCTGGCAAGTTAAGGTACAGCACTGGGCCCCCGTATCCGACGCTATCGGCGCGACTGCGAGGCGTGAGCCACAACCTCCAGACCTGCCAGATTAGGTCACCCGACCCGCATGGGAAGCCGCGGGTCCTTATCACGGGTTCCTACCTAGCAGCAACAGCTTCGACCGCACATCCTCCTAGCCGTGCGCTTCAATTGATCTCGTCAGCTGTCTTACAACTGCGCCCAGGTAAACTCCTTCCCGTACTTCAACTGCTCCACCTCCTCGACCTCCTCTAGCTTCTGTACCTGCCTTCCCTCCGTCTCAACTTTTCTCTCCCATGACGCCTTGTTGCTAACTTTGTCTGTGTGTTGACCCAGATCCGAGTCTGCGACGGCCTTGCTTGGGTGCTACCGATATAGCCAATACCAGCATTCGATAACCCCCGAACGGCCTCATCAAACTGCAAAATGGCGTCTCCTTCGAGAGACCCTTTCTCCATCCCAAGGGCCGACTCACCGTCCCGCCAATACGGCGCTTCTCTGCCTCGAGCAGATGCCACCGCCCGTCTGGCGTCGCCCGTGCCTTCGGCTCAGTATGGCACTCCCCAAACAAATCGCATCCCCGGCCAGGCCAACAGAGGAGGCGAGAACGGTGACACGGGTAGCCTCACCCCGTTGGCTGGAGCTGCCGGTTCGAGCGTCCAAGGCCCTGGCGTCTCAGCTCTCGCCGCAGCGCTTTCCAACTCTCTAGGAACCTCTCCTCCAAGACACGGCACACCACCAGTACGCTCTGGTACTCCTCCTCCCAGACCTCTATCTCCTGCCGCTGCTGGCGCCCAGCTATCAAGCACTCCCATGACGAACTACGGCTCGTTCGACTCCCGCTCGCGAGGTGCCGCCACTGGCGCCTACGAAGACCCCGAGGTCGTCAAGAGGCACCTGGTCCAACCCTCGGACGCCCCGTCAGAGGAGTCGAGCATGCGAGATGGCGTTAAAGGCAAGCAGACAGCGGATGACAACGAGACTGGACTGAACGAGGACGAATTCTCGAGTTTGCAGCTGCAAGGCGGAGATGTAACGCGAGGCATTTACAAGTGGACCGAAGATGCGGAAGCTCGAGGCAAGGTGCAGCGCAGCAAGAGCTTTAGCGTCTCCAGGCCAGATCCCGAGACGGAAATTCTTGACATTAATGCTATCAAGGTTCCGGGTGGTTTCCGCCGCAACTATCTGCGCCGGGCGGCCAGAAGTCCCTCCACGATTCGAGACGGCGGCGAGCGCGGCGAGCCCAGCAACGGCGGTGCTCAGCCTCGTCTACTCACTTCAAGCTTCCTCGAGTTCCTTACTATCTACGGTCACTTTGCTGGCGAGGAGCTTGAGGAAGATGACGAGGCTCTGAAGCCAGGCGAATACTTTTCCTCCGGTGGAGAAGACGATCTCTACGACAGCGACGAAGGCAGCGATGACGATCGGGAACCGATGGAAGACAGTGCGCTTCTGACGCCGTCGCGCCATAAGAGGAGAAGAAGGCAGCGTGGTGGCAGTGGCAAGAATAGCCCGATGAGCGCCGCGCTGCTCTTGCTCAAGTCCTTCGTGGGAACTGGTGTGCTCTTCTTGCCAAGAGCCTACCTGAACGGTGGCATGCACTTCAGCAACCTCGTGTTGCTAGGTGTCGCTGCGCTGAGCTACTACTGTTTCGTTCTGCTGGTTACTACCCGTCTCAAGGTAGAAGGTTCTTTCGGTGACTTGGGAGGCATTCTGTACGGCAAGTGGATGAGGGGTATCATCCTCTTTTCGATTGTCATCAGCCAGATTGGATTTGTGGCCGCATACATGGTTTTCACGTCAGAAAATCTACAAGCCTTCCTCTTGGCAGTCTCTGACTGTAAGACCAATGTCGGCGTCAAGTGGTTGATCCTGCTGCAGGTGCTCGTGTTCCTGCCCTTCTCGCTGCTTCGAGACATCGAAAAGCTGAGTTTCACTGCCTTGATTGCAGACGCATTCATCCTACTTGGCCTAGCCTATCTTCTGTACTACGACATCTTCACCCTGAGCACGAAGGGACTGGCGGACATCATCATGTTCAACCGCAACGACTGGACATTATTCATCGGCACCGCCATTTTTACATTCGAGGGAATCGGTCTTATCATTCCCATTCAGGAGTCGATGAAGAACCCCAGCAAGTTCCCTCGCGTCATGTTCGCGGTCATGATCATCATTTCTGTTCTCTTCATCGGTATGGGTGCGATTTCCTACGCCGCCTACGGATCCAAGACGGAGACGGTTGTCCTCCTGAACTTGCCCCAGGACAGCAAGCTCGTCAACAGTGTTCAATTCCTGTACTCTGTTGCCATCATGCTGTCCATCCCCTTGCAGCTGTTCCCCGCCATCAAGATCACCGAGAACGCCCTTTTCACCAAGAGCGGCAAGTACAACCCGTACATCAAGTGGCAGAAGAATCTGTACCGTTTCTTCTTTGTCTTCCTGTGCGCTTTCATTGCGTGGGGTGGGGCGGATGACTTGGACAAGTTTGTTGCTCTTGTTGGCAACTTTGCTTGTATCCCGCTTGTTTACATCTACCCAGTAAGTCTTGGCCCCAGGTATCGTTAATGTGATTACAATCTAACTTTGTATAGCCTTTGCTGCACTACAAGGCAGTTGCTAGAAATAGATGGTGGAAGATCTCCGACATCTGTCTCTGCATCTTCGGTGTCGTGGCCATGGCTTACACTACCGCTAT